TTATTATCTTTTCATTTTTCAAATGATTTATTCTGGATTCTCTTACGGAGTCTTGGAGTGTGGGAACTGTTTATGACGATTAGATTAAGGTATCTACAATCTTAAAATGCTATGGGAAGGGAGGGAAACAGGTCCGTGACGAAGGAAGTCGTGAAGGAAGCAGTAAAGGTGAGCGGTCTGGAGTGTGGGAACTGTTTATGACGATTAGATTAAGGTATCTACAATCTTAAAATGCTATTGGAAGGGAGGGAAACAGGTCCGTGACGAAGGAAGTCGTTAAGGAAGCAGTAAAGGTGAGCGGTCTGGAGTGTGGGAACTGTTTATGACGATTAGATTAAGGTATCTACAATCCTAAAACGCTATGGGAAGGGAGGGAAACAGGTCCGTGACGAAGGAAGTGGTGAAGGAAGCAGTAAAGGTGAGCGGTCTGGAGTGTGGGAACTGTTTATGACGATTAGATTAAGGTATCTACAATCTTAAAATGCTATGGGAAGGGAGGGAAACAGGTCCGTGACGAAGGAAGTCGTGAAGGAAGCAGTAAAGGTGAGCGGTCTGGAGTGTGGGAACTGTTTATGACGATTAGATTAAAGTATCTACAATCTTAAAATGCTATTGGAAGGGAGGGAAACAGGTCCGTGACGAAGGAAGTCGTTAAGGAAGCAGTAAAGGTGAGCGGTCTGGAGTGTGGGAACTGTTTATGACGATTAGATTAAGGTATCTGTTATCCTAAAATGCTATGGGAAGGGAGGGAAACAGGTCCGTGACGTAGGAAGTCGAGAAGGAAGCAGTAAAGGTGAGCGGTCTGGAGTGTGGGAACTCTTTATGACGATTAGATTAAGGTATCTACAATCTTAAAATGCTATGGGAAGGGAGGGAAACAGGTCCGTGACGAAGGAAGTCGTGAAGGAAGCAGTAAAGGTGAGCGGTCTGGAGTGTGGGAACTGTTTATGACGGTTAGATTAAGGTATCTACAATCTTAAAATGCTATTGGAAGGGAGGGAAACAGGTCCGTGACGAAGGAAGTCGTTAAGGAAGCAGTAAAGGTGAGCGGTCTGGAGTGTGGGAACTGTTTATGACGATTCGATTAAGGTATCTGTTATCCTAAAATTCTATGGGAAGGGAGGGAAACAGGTCCGTGACGTGGGAAGTCGTGAAGGAAGCAGTAAAGGTGAGCGGTCTGGAGTGTGGGAACTGTTTATGACGATTAGATTAAGGTATCTACAATCCTAAAATGCAATGGGAAGGGAGGGAAACAGGTCCGTGACGAAGGAAGTCGTGAAGGAAGCAGTAAAGGTGAGTGGTCTGGAGTGTGGGAACTGTTTATGACGATTAGATTAAGGTATCTACAATCTTAAAATGCTATGGGAAGGGAGGGAAACAGGTCCGCGACGTAGGAAGTGGTGATGGAAGTAGTAAAGGCGAGTATTCCGGAGTTTGGGAACTGTTAATGACGATTAGATTAAGGTATTTACAATCTTAAAATGCTATGAGAAGGGAGTAAATCAGGTCCCGACGTAGGAAGCCGTGAAGGAAGCAGTAAAGGTGAGCAGTCCGGAGTGTGGGAACTGTTTATAAGGATTAGATTAAGGTATCTGCAATCTTAAAATGCAATGGGAGGGGAGGGAAACAGGTCCGCGAGGTAGGAAGAGATGAAGGAAGTAGTAAAGGCGAGCAGTGTGGAGTCTCGGAACTGAAAACCAATTGTAACAGTTAGATTTATGTATCTGAAATTGAAATACTGAAATGCTATGAGATGGGATGGAAAGATGTCCAAGACATAGGAAATGGTTAAAGAATTAGTAAATGCTAGCAGTGCGGAGTGTGGGAAATGTTGGTGGCAATTAGATTAATGTATTTAAAATACTAAAATGCTATGGAAAGAGATGACAACATGTCCACGACGTAGGAAGTAGTAAAGTTTAGCATCGCAGAGTGTGGGAATCGTTTGTGGCAGTTAGATTAATATAAATATATAGATTAATATTAAAACATAGATTAATATATCTGTAAAACTTAAATGCTATGAGAAGGGAAGGAAACAGGCCCATGACGTAGGAAATGGTGAAGGAAGTAGTAAAGGCTGGCATCGCAGATTGGGGGGAATGATTTTCCCCGAGCAAAGCTCCAGGTACTTAGTTTATAAACAGTAAAAGAGAGTATTCAAATTGAAATCTATAGAAACTGTAATTCTGAGGCAGGAATTCAGTATTTTCAAATATTATTAACGGTAGCTAAACGTCACCAATTCAATGCCAATAGCGTCGCGGCAACCACCATCTTTTTCAGGGTATCATCAGCTCGTGAAATTAGCGACGCCTTATTTCCTGTGGTGACCATTGACTATGGTATTGCTATATATTCCTGTCATTCTGTTCGCTGAGCAAAGTCGACTAATTGGCTAAATGTTTTAGTTGGAGAAAATGAGAAGGAAGCCTTAATTGATAATTGATAATTGATAAGGTCTATTACATAAATGGGAGCTAAACAAACATTAGGATATTGACAAAATAATACTTATCTTAAGCTATTACAAACACACAGTTTTACTATTACTCATATATACAAGGAAAAATCAATGACCTAATAGAAACAGCTGACTGGATTCATATTTCCTTCAACTCTTTCAACCAACCACGAGAATTCGATTGGATTGTTGCTATGGTGACGTCATCATGTATTCAATTTGAACCATGAAAACAAATTAAGTTATTTGTTTATATCAAAGCTTGCTTACTCCGCTCAATTGGCGGACCTGAGGCCGCATGCCTAGTTTTACTTTTGAAAATAAATAGTAAACAATACCAACACTAGCCCTGCATGCCTTCAAAATCCCATATATACAGTACATGTATGTATGAATGCGTGTGTATTTAAGTGTGTGTACTTGAAAATACTAATACAAAAATATTAATTAAAATATCAATTAACAAAACAAATAACCATTAACGTTGCTGGTGACGACGTGTGTTTAAACGCCTTCAATCTGAGAGACGCAACAGTTCTAGCGTTTTGGAACTTCCGATCTGATTACTAGAGTTTTGGATCTTCCGACCCGGCATATGATCACAAGTTCCAAAGTGAAAAGGACAGTCTATTTCATAAGTTTACTTTAAGAAATAAATCTGTACTTCTTGTTATGACTGTACTTTTGGATCTTACGATTTTGGAACTTCCGATCGGCAATATTTTCTTTGGATCTTTTGATTTTGGATGTTCCGACCCGCTAAATAACCTTTGGAAATTCCGATTTTGGAAGATCCGATCGGCAATATAAACGTTGGATCTTACGATTTTGGAACTTCCGATCGGCAATATATTCTTTGGATCTTCCGATTTTGGAACTTTTGAAATACTCCCAACAAAACTTCAATGAATGATTCACATTTTTATAACTTTGTTATACATTGACTTTATATAAGGGAATTATTTTCCCCCATTATAACCATATCCTATCTACCTGGGAAAAATTATTTCAGCATATTGGTATCACTGCGACTGCTTCGGATGTTGGATGATGCGAAACATCATTTGAAAATTTTGGCAAAAAACATTCTTTTCAAAACTTTCTCTCTAAGTATGAACCTATTACATGTATTTATGTTAATAACCATTTTTTATATTGTCTTAGGTATCTTAAAACCAAGTGTGTTAATAGATTAGCCTTAGAATAAACTATATTTTTTTATTTTATTTTTTATTTAGGTTATGTCACGATTTTGCAAAACCAGGGTGAATAGAAACACTTTTTTTGGAACCAGTGGTGCAAATAAAGGTTGACCTGAAAACCCCCAAAAAAAGAAAAAAAATACCAGAGATGAAGATGATTCCACACACACTTCTCACTGGAAGAAAGTGACAAATACGAACAATTTCATAAAGAACCAGCATACCTAGCTCAAGACATCAGTGAGTCTTCAAAGTTGTCCCTTCATGATCATGTAATTGTCAAAGTAATGGGGAAAAACAAAACTTGCTATCGTTTATATGTTGCAAAAGTTATTGAATTTGACGAGGAAGGATAAATAGGAAGATTCATCAAGAAAATTGCGCAAACCAACAAGTTCTGAGAGACAGATTAAGAGGCCCTCTTCAAAGTCGATGACGTAGTATGTCGGCTTCCAACTCCCAAGCCGTGTACAACTTGTAAATTTAAGGGAGTGTTGTATTTTGAGGAAGATTTGTCTGATTTTACTCATCATTTAGTTGGTTTCTATGTAAGATTTTGTAACTATGATTTCACCCATTGTCATTTATGTTCTCCGATTTGTTTGGATAAGGGTTTATGAAAACGATGTTTTTATACTTCGTACTTATAAATAAATGTGTCAATTAACTTTAAATATTTTTATTTACAACAAACTAAGCTAACAAGCATAAATTTCATGTTTCTATTGCCCCTGGTAAGTGGGGAAAAGCAACAATCATCAATTTAACACAGTGTTTCTATTCACCCCAAAGTGCGGGGTGAATAGAAACAGCCATATTTTATTTTTTTTCTGCTTAATGATTAAAAAGAAAAAAAAATTGATTACTGGTTTGAGTAGAGGAGTCCAAGACCGAAAATATGAGCTAGTGCTGAAAATTCAAAAATTAAAAATATCGTTTTTACAGAAGCTTAAAAGTCAAAAAGTGTTTCTATTCACCCCATTTTACGGTATTTAGTCAAAGGGGGGAGGGTCTTCCCCTTACAGTACAAGGGGGCAGTATAAGTGTTAAAATGAGTTTATTTGTATGGAGGATAATATAATAAATAAATACACATGGAAACAAATATATTTTATTCAAAGAATATCCATCTACCCATTGTAATTAGAAAGGGGGGGCTCGTATGGGGACGGCGATGGTCCCATCGAATTCCTCGCCCCAAAAATAGTAGGGCTACATGGTTTATACAGCTGTAGATACAAACTTGAGAAAATCCCTGAAAGGGATCAAAAGTATGAAAAAATTTCCCCGAATAGGGATAAATCTCGCTTAAAAAATCCCACTCCCCCCAGAGCCATCCCATACACCAGCACTGATACACCTACCGTATTTTCAATCATGTTACTATTAGTGCGTACATTTTCCCGATGCGTCAATTTTGAAGATATTTCATGTTTGAGATTAAAAAATTATAAACGTCTGATTAACCCTTTAGCTCTAGGATGTTTTTCTTTCATACCATCAAGGGTGAGTTTTAAAGGCTTTGCCTTGAATTATTTAAGATAACATAGTTCATACTCAGATCTAGGCTATTTCAAATAGGCTAGGTAAGTTTTTTTTATCACAAAAATAAGTCCTACTCGTAAAATTCACCTAGCCTAGGCTTAGGGCCTACCTATTGTTTTTGTCTATAATTATAAAACCTCCAGGGTACAGTCACTGGGCTATGCTAATGGTATCTTTTATGTAACAAATTATGAGTAATTTACGATCTAATTCACTTGTTAGGGAAAATACGCTTGCAAGTTTTGCTAGGGAAGCGGGACTAAATATTGATTTTGATGAAAGTGACGAAGGAAACAACTACGACGTTAGTAAGTTAGTTTGGACTCTGACTCTAGTGCTTCTGTGGTTGATGACACTGACGAGGATCCTTCGTTCAACCCAGATGACCCTCAACCTTGCACATCATATAGGCCTAGAGGTAACATACGTTTTCCTTTGTTTGAAAGCAGAATTCCAGCTCATGATAGTTCCGATTCTGAGGCAGATGAGCCTTTACAACCAACTAGGCCTATGCCGGCAAGAGGTTCAGGATCTAATAGAAGAGGGTCTAGGGGCAATAGAGGGTCTAGGGGTAGTAGCAGGCCTAGAGGAAATAGAGGTAGGGGTAGGAATCTATATACAGTGTGTAAATTAAGTATTGAAACAAATCTGTATTTTTAAAACCAAAATAGATAGAAATATTCTGTTTGTGGCAATACTTGTTAACAAAGGTTCCACAATTTTTTACATAAAAAATATCTTTTAACCCCCCTAACAGAGTAGGGGGTAGGGGGTGACTTATTTTTTTTCAAATAGCAACCCCTACTGAGTGACCCCTCATTTTGAAGGGTTTGACAAAAGAAACACGATGACGTAAATCTGAGGTGAATATCTCACGCCGCGCCAAAATGGCGGATATTCCAAAATGGGTGTTTTTTTTGCAAAAATCAAATTTTGGAATACCCGCCATTTAGGCTAGGGGTGAAATTTCTACCTCGGGTTTGCGTCATTGTTTTTCTTTTAACAACCCCTTCAAAATGAGGGGTCACTCCATAGGGGATGTTATTGAAAAAAATAAGTCACCCCCACCCCCTAGGCCCTACCCTGTTAAAAGGGTTGAAAAAATATTGTTGATGTAAAAAAGTGCGGAACCTATGTTAACAATCAATTCCACAAACAGAATATATCTATCTATTTCGGTTTTTTAAATACAGCTTTCTTTCCATTATTTGTAAAATTGGTGCTTTTTCACATACGGTAAATTAAATTTTGGAATGCCTGCCATTTTGGCTAGGGGTGAGATATCCACCTTGGGTTTGCTTCATTGTATTTCTTTTGACAAATCCTTCAAAATGAGGGGTCTCTCAATAGGGGTTGCTATTTTAAAAGAATGAGTCACCCACTACCCTGTTAGGGAGGTTAAAAAATATTTTTGATGTAAAAAATTGCGGAACCTTTGTTAACAATTATTGCCACAAACAGAATATTTATCTATTTAGCTTTCAAAAATACAGATTTGTTTCAATACTTAATTTACACACTATATATAAGGCAAAGCCCTCACTGACTGACTGACTGACTCACTCACTCATCACTAATTCTCCCACTTCCCACTTACCTAGGAGGCTGAAATTTGGTACACTGATTCTTAAGGCATTAAATAGGAAAACTAAGTGGTTTTTATTCTGATCGGACTCTCGGGCTCCGCCCCAGTGGCTCTGGAGTTTACCATGTTAACCTAATGAGTAGGCCCTACTCATCATATATAAATGGAATTAATGAATCATAACAGCTGTTTCAATTAAACAAGTTGGTTCTGTTCTGTGATGTTCAATTATTTCAGTCAATTGCTTCATATGGTTTAATTTATTATGGTAGCTCTCCTAAAATCCACGAGGTACTTCTATCTCAGAAAAAAATCATCAGAATAATGTGTAAAGAGGATAGTGAAGCACACTGTAAACCCCTTTTTATTGAATTAAAAATATTGACCATCATTAACTTATACATTTATCAATTAATTGTTTACTTTTAAGAATAGCTTTAAATACAAAATGAGAAATGAAGTGCACAGTATTAGTACCAGAAACAGAAACTGCAAAAAGATTGATCTGCCTCAGGTACGGTTGGAAAAAACAAGATCAGGACATGTTGTGATGGGTATCAGGCTATTAAATAAATTACCTCTGGCTGTGACAGATTTAGACTTTAAGAATTTTAAGAAAAGGCTGTTTTTATTTCTAGTAAACAACCCTCTCTACCGTATCGAAGATTTTTTTAGCATGTCTGATAAGTTAATAAAAAATATTTGAAATAGGATCTAACTGTGATTTAGATATAAGTTGCACGATTTTTTAAATTTATTACTGTCAAATTTTTAATCTCTTGCCATGGTCTGTAACTTTTGTATTTATTTGCTCGTCGCTCAATTTCAATTTTAACTCTTGTATTATAGCCTATTGACTGTATTGACTGAATTATTTGTTATTTATATATTTATACATTTATTTACTCAAGACTGAATACGAGATGTATTTACCAAGTAATTGACCTGTCTATGCATTACAAATGTAAAAATGATGAATAAATGTCTTATGTCTTATGTCAATAACATTAAAGTTACAAGGATTACCAACAGAGTGCAGCACTATTATATTTTTTTTATTTATGACAACAGCTAATTTGCAACCAAAAGGTGAGTGAGCGTAGCGAACGAACTTCAACCCGGAGGCGAGTTAGCGTAGCGAACGAGCTAACCTGAAGGCAAGTGAGCGCAGCGAACGATTTCCAACCGTAAAGATGAGTGAGCGTAGCGAACGAACTTCAACCAGGACGTGATTGAGCCATGCGAACGAGCTCACATATGAAGTTAAACGGGGCAAAGCCCGCGGGTACAGCTAGTGTCCCTATAAATACGCCTGGACAAAATGATCCTGAAAATGACGATACCTCTTGGGATGAAGTAGAAGAAGGCAGTGATGAGCCTTATAACCACCGATTTCAGTTTGCCGAAAGTTGTGGGCCCAAACATTGTCCTCCAGTAAACTCAAGGCCCCTTTCCTATTTTAGTTTGTTTTTTACTACCACCTTGCTCGAAACATTTGTTCGTGCAACTAATCAATGTGCAACAGACTACATTGCAAGGGAGCAGCATGGTTTGTCCCCATTCAGCCGTATAAGTAGGTGGGTAAATGTTACCGTTGTTGAGATGAAAGCCTTTTTGGCCATTATTATAAATATGGGACTAATACGTAAGCCCATAAAGAGTTACTAGGATACTCATTTCAGCCAGGCCACGCCTTTTTTTAAAAAATGATGTCCGGTGATCGTTTTCAATTGATTTTAAAGTTTTTTCATATTGTGGATGTTCGTAACTTACCTAAATTAGGGGAGCCTGGGTATGACCCTTGTAGCAGGTTTCAGCCAATAGACCACGCTAATAGACTGTTCAAGCTCTATTACTACCCTTCTCAGGCATTATCTGTCGACGAATCCCTGGTGGGTACTAAAAAACGTTTTTCCTTGACTCAATACCTCCCCAAAAAGAAGCACTACAAATGGGGAATTAAGTTGTGGGTTCTTTGCGACCACAAGTCACCAAATATTGTGTTCAGCTTTACCCTTATAAATGAGCACAGAGAAACGAAGAAAATGAAAGAGTTGTGGAAACAGGTTTAGCCTCTAATGTCGTAATGACATTGATGAGAATGGCGGGTTGTCTGAACAAAGGGCACCATCATGACATTGATGAGAATGGCGGGTTGTCTGAACAAAGGGCACCATCTTTACTTAGACATTTTTTTTACTTTCATTTCCCTTGCTAAAACCCTGTATGAGAACCAGACATGGCTTACTGGTACAATAAGAAAAGACAGGGTGGGTATCCCTAGACAGCTTTTAGGGAGATATGCTGTAGGCCAGAAGAAGTACGTTAGGAAAGGGCCTCTGCTAATGATGGCTTTCAGAGAAAAACCCACTAACGCTTCACAATTAATTCTTTTATCCACTGATAGTCATGCAACAACAGTAAGATACTCAATAAGAAGATGTGGTAGGTAGATTGATTGTAAAAAATAAAACAAAACTTCAATTTCAGTACAATAGAGGCATGGGTGGAATAGACTCGACAGATCAAATGCTTTAAACGTGTATTTAGATGAGCGAAGAACTATGAAGCATGTAAAAAAAGTTATCTTCAACGTCATTGGCCGTATGATATTAAATGCATATATCCTTTACAAACTAAACACAACAAATGGCAGAAAGGAAAGAACGGACTTCATGAGGGAAGTCGTTGAAGACCTATCGAACGAGTGGTTATTGACAAAATGTGTTCCTGCGACCATCGGGGTTGACGGAGATGGCCCACAGAATGTTTTTGGACTCAGAAAACTTCCTGAGAAGAAAGAAAAGATCTGTAAACATTGCTCAGGAACCAACAATCCAGAGGGGAAAAAAGGAGATCCCGGACTGTGTGTGTGCGTTGTGAGGCAGGGGTACATGCAGAATGCCTTGTGTCCCATGTTTGTCAATAAGACATGAAAAAACCCTGTAAATAGTGTAAATATGTTTTTCCAATAATGAGTTTCTAGGCCTAGAGCCTACATAGACTTAGTAAGATAGAATGTTTGTGTTATTTTTTGTGACCGACAGCAAAGCAGCCAGCCTCTCACTCGCCAGGCTTTTGTACGTTCAGGTAATGATTTTCAATTATTTTTATAACTCTTGTAAAAATAAACTAATGTGTATGAAATTTTCAGGACTACTTCATTATAAAGTAAACTTTTAGGAAAAAATTCATGTGATATCAACAGTTTTGGTTTTTAATAATGTTTTCAAGTTTGCAATTGGATTTTTTATCAATTTATTTTTTTGTATAAACTACATAAATTTTTTTTTTTAAATATCCATAAACATACATATTGTAATAGATAATTTTATACTTAACAAAACAAATTACAAGTCATTATCTTATATAACAA